TTTCTACCCGTTCGAACTCCCCTAAATCGGAGAATATCCAGATCTTTTAGTGCATAAAGCAAATCTTGGGACAAGTTGGATGTAGTATAGTGCCGTAGTGAGAGGAGGTTTTCACGTGAATATAAACATAAATATCTAGGCGAGTGCGAAAAAGACGGAGGGAGAGTTAGCAGATATCGGGAATCCTCGATTTCTGGAGGGCCAGGGTTCGTTTCTACGTCCTTAAAGACCGTAAGATTGAAGTCTGGGTCTTTTCCAGGGATTTTAAGACACGTAAGACCGCGTTACGTGTATTTCAGTCTCGGTTAAGGGAAGCGAGTGAAACCCAAATGGCGTGACGAGGCTACTCTTAGGACTGTAATCCGGCAAAAAAGAGCGAAAACCCCCACCGATGAACATGAACCTTGGAAATGGTGATTGATGGTATAAGCGCCATCTTCAGTATGAACTCGTTGATGTAGTAAATTTGAGAAGACCAAAAAGAGCAAGATGACGGAGAGCAATTTGGGAGCAGCCAAAATAGGCGCTAATTTACATTGGTTTACCATGCTTGGGGCTCCCGTTGATAAAAAATTCAATATTGCCTTAGTTACAATTTACAGAGTACAGGAGAATAGAAACAGAAATGAATGATAGGAATAACAATATAGTTCAAATCGCCGAAGGAAAAAAGAAAGCTTATGAAATAGATTGATAAACTAGTACCAGATATGATACAACCAGACAAACAAACAAAACAGAGAAAAAATATCGAACAATCAAATAAACGAAAAACAAACGAATACCTGATAAAATTATGATAGTGTAGTCTGACTCATGCTATCATCATAATAATTTGGTTTTATCAACTGAGTTGATAACAAGCAATTATGGGATGAGGTGGAGCATGATACAGTACCATGAATTATCAAAAGCGAGGTCTGCGTTATCTACCGAAGCCGAAGGCTGAGACAGATAACACAAACAAGGGTTTTGATAATTCACGATGTCATGCGAAAACCGAATTCAATAATTGTTATATTATACATTTTACAAAAACAAAAAGTTTCAAAAGAAAACACTTATCTGATTTTCACACGCATCGAGCGCCTTTTGCCATCTGTTGTGAATGAAAAGTCCTTTATTTCGCCTTTTTAAATCAATACTCTGCGCTAGAAATAGTTTTAGGTCTTTGATGATTAGTTCTTTCTGCCTCGTTTTGCCTGTTGAATCCAAATGGTAAAGAGGTCATGGAACTTTTCAAGTACGGGCTGTCATCACTTTTTTTAGCGCCGCCGTAAACTTCTTCAGATCACTGGCTAAAGCGGTTTTCTCCTGTGGTTCCGACAGGTTGTTCTTCCTCCAGTTATCAATCGGAATTTTTAAAATTGTTTTGTTGTCCTTATGGTGTTTTTATAGTCCTTGTTCTCGATCTAAATTCTCAATTCCTCCCCGGAAACATAGGCGAAGCGTTTTACCGTTATTATATGCAAAAGCTTGATAAAACTACAAGGACGAGGGGATTGGAAACTAGGCAGACTTTGAACTCGACACGATAACCCAAGATCTGCAGCAGAATTGGGTTATCGTGTCAACTTCACATTCTAATGCATTTTGACTGAATGCTCTTGACCAATAATATGTTTCACAGTAAGCCTAATGTATAATAATGTAAATTGTCAAAGCTGACGTTTCGAGCGTTAGCCCAAGCGCGAGTGGAAAAACGAGGTTCCGTTACTTAAAGTACGGCCCGAGAAAAACGATGCGGAGAGAGTATGCTACACCTATGAAGTTGATTGTTAATTAAAAAATAAATCTTTCAATGCGTTGACCTCGAAGTTGCCTTTCTTCCATTAGCACAAGAACCCAGGATCGATCTGCAATCTTCGAGCCAAAATTGCCAAGGTACCCAAGTTACAATTTTCTCAAAGTTGCATGATGTAGTCCTTTAAAAATAAGATGAATGAAGGCTGATAGTTTCGAAAGAAACTGTTTGGGGCTGCGTCGGTGGGAGTGACGAAATAATTTGGATATATCAACAAAGTTGAAATGGTAAATTGGCCACCGTAGCGATTACAAAAGCTGACGTTTCGAGCGTTAGCCCTTCGTTGGAGCGAAAAAAAGGTTAAAAATAATTTAAAATAAGGACGCGTTAGAAAATTTGGTTTTCTTAGTCCTTTATTCATAAACGTCACACATCTCTTAACTGCAAATTTTCATAAACTCCCTCACGAGTAAACACACTCATTTGATGATCTGACACAAAACCTCTGTCATGATATGATGCAAGGAGGATCTCCATGTTTTAAATCTGCAACTGAGTCATTGTAATAGTTGCTTCACATGCCGCCTTTTGCTTTTCGTGTCCCTATACTTTTTGCCTGACAAGTGCAAATGACGCCTTGTTTAAAACTCTTCAGTTCTTTTTCTAACTCAAAATTATTCACTAGTAATAATTTTTTCCTTCCTAAACTCTTATTAATGTTTGCGCATTCTAAATTAAGGATTATAGATTCCGCTGTATTAGTCTTTCTTACAGTAGCCTCTCCTTATTTGGGGTGTGCTATAGCTGTTACCTTGTTTTCATGACGATGGATTTGATTTTTTGCCTTGCTGTCTCTAATTTAAGGAAAAGAATCCGGATCCGCCCTACAAACTTAGAGGTGAAAATGCCATGGTAAGTTCAATAATAAAGTACTCTAAAGCGGATTTGGTAAATGAGACCACGTTTTAACTATTTTGTGTCTGCGATTGAGTTTTGAGTCTATGGTTATGTGGAGGTGTGAGCGTTTCGCTAACCAAAAACAAAAGTTCATCCTACAATTTTTCCGTTACGGACTTCTGGCTTTTTTTAGGCTATTTTTCCTAGTTATTGTAAGGCGAACTGTAATCTTCGGGCAAATTTGAGCAAGTCGATATGCTTTTTCTTTCTGTTATGATTGCGATTTTCATTGAAAAAAACTATTAAAGGTCGTGGCTGTTTCAGCATTTTCTGTATTACGTGTGTGTGATATCATTCGATTAAAGTTTAGCGATCTTGATCGAAAACCGGGTTTTTAGTTTAAGTGTCCATCGTTTGTTTGCTACGCATATTTGTCGTTTGATACCGCGTTCGCGATAATGAAGCCGTCGAAAAGAGTTCGTCCAGTACGGATGGAAAGCCGCTATATAATATGGTTTACTAGATCAATGTTAAAAGCATGGAATGAGCGAAACAAAGGCAGAGGATTTGACAAGAAAACGAACGGCCAGTTTGCAGAGGCCCTGCTACACAGTATTTCGGAGGAAAGTCAAACAGAAAGCTCCTCTCGGCTCTTGGGTGACTCGTCAAATGGGGAAACGTTTGCAATTTTATTTAAATTCAAAACACGAAAGTATCAAGCGGAAAGAAAATTTAAATGCTCTTACAATCATTCCTTGTTTCTCCATCTTAGCTCCAACGTAGCAAGTTTTGTATGTCGCTCCACTTCAGAAGTAACTATTGGAGAAATAACGTCCACAGACATTTTGCCTTCGTTTTCATCAAAACATTGTGACTATTTCGGGCCACTTTAAAAAAATGCCATAATGCATTATAATGTGTAGATTTCAATAATGTTTTAATTTTTGTTTGTTTGTTTGCTTGATATCGTCGTGTTTGCTCTCAGCACAAGGTGCACTTGTTGCACCTCAAGTTCTTGACGACTTATTCATTCTCTGCCCATTTGTATTTGTGCTACGTTTAGGGAAAAAGCCCACTAGATTTTTAATGAATTAGTGCGCATGTTTAGTTAAGCTACATCTGAAGTACATATTGAATTTCTCGCAAAGTTTTTACCAGTCATGTGACAAAAACTAATTCCTTTTTTACAGTTAGCAAGGAAAAGGATACACAATGCTGCAATCAATGGTGAATGTGACGTCATCAAACTACTTCTTGAAAGTGGTGATAATGGCGACCAAACGGATAAGGTTGTTTGCTTTAACTTTGGTTTTTCCAGTTCACTTTTTTGCGTCTGTATTCTTTCTATTGTAAACGCTTTGCTTTTATTTTTCAGTTTGGTTTGACGCCTCTTCACCTTGCTGTATGGTATGGACAGAGAGCTGTTGTAGAACTCTTGTTACAGTACGGAGCAAATGTTGATGCTGTAGATAGGGTAAGTTGCTGGCCCCTAGTGTTTGTGTATTTGACAAAAGATCGAAATATTATTATCAATTGTCGGGCATGCAGTTTGATTTTCCAAAGAGTCATATGACCTCTCGAAAATTCCCCTCAATCTTTTTTTCCCCATGTCCAGGAAAGCTCTTCTTCCAAAGCAGTTTACAATAGCTGTCCTATTTTGACCGAAGTAAACTTTTTATCTCAAGTTTCAGAAAACAGCCCTGCAAAAAGCTGAACGCAACAATCACCGAGGCATTGTTAGGCTGCTCTTGAAGAATAAAGCGAGTCCCGGTTACAACCAACCGGTACGGTAATAAACTACGTAGACTACTTCCATGATTTGTAACCTCACAAACTGGGAACAGAAATCAAGCAATGCGCGTGGTGTAGTTTTCCTCCAAGCCTTTAGCTCCCCGAATCGCTTTGCAAGTGTTATTTAATCCTTCTATTTCCTGTTGTGTTCATTTGTGATGGGTTAACCCTTTAACTCCCACAAGAGATTAACATGTAACTTCTCCTTTAATATCCATGCAGTATCCTTCAAACGGGTAATGGAAATACTCAAGGTAGTTATCTTGGTCTAACAACAGCTTGTCATAACTAATTTATAAAGAAACGTGTAGCAGCTGGAGAGGCGATCTTGGGAGATGAAGGGTTCATTGACTTGCATGGCATTCATCAAACAAGAAGTTTTATATTAAACAATTAGTCCATGGTAAGCACGCGGAAAGTTTGGAGAGCACGAGAGAAGCGTAAGAGTTGCTGGAGGCGCAGCTGAGAGCACCTCTTGCATTTCTTGAGTGCTCTCCAAACTTCCTTGGTGCATCCATAACTCGATATACGTACAGCTAAGGCACGAACCAATTTTTTTTATAACATAGCATGTAAACACAAGTTGTGGTTGAAAAAATAGTTTATGACAATTGTGTCGCGTTTACCAGGTAATCGTGTTCTACCCGAAAACTGTGAATGGATGACAAGGCAAAAACGACCAAAAACTATATCTTGACCAAATCTTTATTCAAACAATTGTAAATTTTCCGCTCAGAAGCGAAGAACCAACGAATTTTTTGCATGCACGGGACCACGTAACAGATTTAGCATGCTAGAATCGTTGTTTACTAGAATTCTCGACTAGAAAGTTTCGTAGGTTTGTGTCGAAAATTTCGAAATTGTACGGTTTTAAAATTAAAATATTCTATCGAACAATACTTTGTGGAAATATCAACAGTTCGAAAACGAAGCGCTAAACTGATAAATTTCTTGTATTCACGAGACTCGTCGGGCAGATTTACCTGCTTGAATTGTTGTTTACCAGAATTTACGACCAGAAAATTGAGTAGCTTTCTGTTGAAAATTCTGAAAATTTCACGATTTCAAAACACAGGACACTCTTGGGAAATATCAACGCTTCAAAATAGAACCGCATCATTGAATAAAATCTCGCATTCTGATTGGTTAATGAAGCGAGGTATTTAGCGTGAAATTGTGAGTTGAAAACAAGACCAAGTGAAATTGTTTCGCATCTACGTAAGCATAACAACTATCGTCAACTTGTTGCAAAGTTTGGTTACTAAGTCAATTCAAAATGTTTTCAAAACCATTGTCACCTTTTAAAGAGCCAAAAACAAAAAAAGCGTTTTTCAAAGTGAGCCTGAAGTTCTTCCTTATTTTGAACTGTGAACTATAATTTTTTGGAGAGGCATGAAAAACCTCTTTCGCTCGCGACAAAGCAAAGCGAGAAAATCCTGTGAACACAGCCCAGAAAAAAAGGTCTCCGAGCAAACAGGTCATGCCAACCTGGGTTCAATATCCACCTACAGCTATACTCTTTTAGAAAAACAAAGAAGGACGTCAAGCAAGTTGGCTGGGTTTTCAGTCGCACACCACGACTGTCACAGCTGCCAACGCCAGCGGCGGTACACAGACTGAAGCTCTGCGAGAAATTTATGTAAACAGCCTTGCACTTCCATTAGTAGTTTACAATAACACAACAGCAATGAATAACCGCAGTGATGGTCTGACAGCAAGAGTTCTAGCTGGGCTGTTCACCAATGTATCGTTCAACAACTCTCCAGTGAATATTTCCATCAACTTTCAGTCGAATGTTCATCCCAACGATTCAGCTAATGGAAGTTGCCTGTAGTGAATTTCTACGAATAAAAAGATTAAAGTTTTTTGACTTTTCATGAAACACTTCTTCGTTTTTAAAGAGGTAAAATATCGAGCAATACACGTATTTACACTTCAAGGTACTTACGTTATATTAATCACGATGTAAAACTTTCAATGCTTTTGCTTGCACACTTCATTTCTTTCCGTTTTGCCACCAAAGAGATAAAAGGTGTAAATTATTTTCCTTTACGTGAAAATTCAGTGGAAACTTGAAAAAAAGATGTTAAAATTAAACGGCTTGTAAATTCAATGAAATACCGCCATTATCCCTAAATAGTGTAAAGCTTGTTTAAAAAGTTTGAAAACGAATGTAAAAACAAGCATGAGGTTCAAATAAAAGATGTCGATGGTTCAAACGTGTAATAATAATATATAATAATATAGATCGATTTCTATAGCGCTTTTCCATGTAAAATGCTCTAATGCGCTTTACAACACTGTGCGGGGGACTTTTGG